AGACAAAGCCTCCCAGTCTTTGATAACATAGCAGACTTCCAAAGCTTAAGTTTCTTGGTTATTTTCTCAGATATGAACTTAACCTTATTTTTTGAGGGTCTACTAGCAGAAATTAATTAATGAAAATGTTGTAGGTTAAAACTGTCTTACGTGTTGCGATATAACGGTTGTGAGTCTTGTGACAATAAAAGAACGTATTAAGTACAAAATGCTACACGCAAATGGTATGCATATAGAACTTGTTGATACCGTGAACAAATTCACATATAAGTGAAAGTGTTATCTCACAACAAAAGAGTAAGGAGAAGTATTAATTAAGATGTGTATCCTATATTGAAGAAAGAGAAAGTGACGTCTCTTTATAATTTAAGATAGAGTATGTCATATGGTTTTAAACTAGAATCTCCCTAGACTTATAAATTAATGTGTTCCACGCCAATCTAAGGTACTAGCATGATTATAAATTTGTGTGGTCCAAGCCAATTTAACTGGAACTAGCTAGTATAATTATACATTAAAAAAAAAAAAAAATTAAAAACTAGTAATTGTCTATTTGATAAGAAAGAGACTGGAGAGTGTCCTTGGATAATGTATTAATGTCGCTCATAAAGGCAATTGTTTAGCTAGCAATTAAGTATTTGTTACAAATTAGAGCTTAAATTAATAAAATCAGTTGAATATTATTCAGGTCATACTAAAATACTTCGTATGAATGAATAATACCCCATAGAATTGTTCAACTAATGCTAGTTTAACACAAGTATATACGATTAATTAAATGTCAATTAAGTAGTATAAATTGAGGTCATTGGTTGTTCTAAATTCCCATCTTCTCGTCAAATATCAACAAAAAATCCGTAGCTTGATAATCCAATCAAATTACCTTCTATGGCGAAGCATTCTCTTTCACTTGTTTCTAAGTTGGTTCTGCTCATAATATTTTTGGTGCTGATTACATCAGGTAAATTCTTTTTTTGGTCCCTTCATTAACTTGTTAATTAATTTACGGATTACAAATTAAATTGATCTCGTTAAAGTTTGTAACAAGAAGGTGGTGATATGACGTTGCAAAAACAATAGGAGTAAAAAATACAAGTATGATTTTAATTGTATGTTAGTTGTGGGCTTGTGGCACTAAATCAATTAGTGATACTCCATCGCAATAAATATTGATTTTGTCACACTCATTGTGAGAAACAATTTTCATCTCACAAAGAGGTAACAAAATGGACAACATCAATTAAAGTGTGCCAAAATCAATTTTTAAAATTTTATTGTCAGATGTGATGCTAAAATAAATAGTGATGTCATTAATGAATCAACTTACGAATGTGTTATATGTCACATTAATTCAGTTCCAACATTCACTGAGGCGTGTACACGAAATAATGGTGGCTGCACTTGGAACTCCGATTGTTGTTCTGGGTACTGTAATTGGCATGAGTTTCTTCCATGGCAAGGGCAATGCGAAACTTATGTGTAAACATTAACAAAAGAGGGAAGGAACACAATGAATTATATATATACAAACAGCTCATTTGATAGCCGGTAATAAATTGGGTTCCTTTCATCTTAAAATCTTTAATACAATACAATTGTTAGTTATTGTGGTTAATAAAATTGTATGGTAGTCTTACACTATGGTATATATGTGCCAACAATTTGTATACGTAGTAGTACTATACATGTCTCTATTTACTCATTGTTTGTCACTTTTGTAAAAATAAAATTAAGTGAAAGTTTACCGGTGTATTGTCCATTGTTTTAGAGAGTGAATGATATTTATCTTTATATGTTCTTACATTATCTTACTGTGTATTTGAGCAAATGTCTTTGCTTAATCTTATTTTACATTTTATGAATATATACAATTTATAATTGTTTTATTAATTAATTGTTTATGTACTTACTTAGTAGTCTTCTAATATCTACAACGCAAATATGATTTTTGAAATTTTTAATCCAACATAAGATAAATAATTTTCGAGAAACTATAAAATAAGAATAGACTTTATATAAATGAATATAAAAATTTGATTGATAAATTAAAAAGAAATATTGATAATACTATTTTATACCAAAAACAATGTAATACAATTAACTACTTTTAAAAAATGTCAATTATAAAGTACATAATCATTATTAAAACATTATGGTAGTCATATTTTAAACAATTACTATAAAATTTTCACAATCTGAAATATTTAAGAATAGGAAGTTTTGCAAACAATATGTGCCGCTACGTGTCCCATTCTATTAACATTAGTGGGGGATTGCAGGAGTTATATTGGTGGTAATATGAATCTGAAACTTTTCTCGTGAGCGATCGAGTGAGATATAACTCACTTAATCGAAGTTAGCTCGGCAGGTACGGTGCGATAACTTAGATGCTCACATTGTTGCGGCGAGAAAGAGTTATAGCTCATAGGTGAGCGAATGATAGCTCGGTTGCACAAATAGGTGTGGCAAGCCCAAGCTATAGCTTGTAGGCGAGCAAGCAATAGCTCGAGTGCATGCTTGTGTGCGACAAGGTCGAGCTATAGCTTGCAGGCGAGCGATCGATAGCTCGATTGCTCATAAGGTGCTGTCTGAAGAGGAAAGATTTTATTTGTTTCCTTTACCAAAAATTGCAAATAATAATACAACCTTTGACCGGTTCTTTTTTAATAATATAACCTTTGGATTATTTTGGAATATTACAACCTTTGGGGGTGTTCATTTTAAACAGGAAAAACCGGTTGGTAACCTGATTTTAGAGGTTACCTTGACACGTGTCATTGTTTAATTAGTTTTGTTAATTTAATTTAATTTTTAAAAATTTAGTTAATGTTTTTTAATTTTTAAAAGATATAAAATAATAAAGATTACTTTTATTATTATAATTATTGTAAAAATAAAAAAATAAAACCACCACCCTACCACCACCTTCCCCAATCCCCACCATCATGCCACCATTCCCTCTCCCTATACCCTGCACGCAGCTCGCCTCCCGCAGCCTAGAAATCGGTTGGCCGGTATCCTTCTCACCCACCGCCGGCCCACCAACCTCCTATTACCCCGACCAGGCCGAAACTCCCAAACACACCACCTTCTGCAGCCCCGATTCTACCCCATCCCAACCACCGTAGCCAACCTCCACCACTAACACCAGCGAATATGAACCGCAACCAAACTCCCACAAATCGCAGCCAGCGGACCACAACCAAACTCCCACAAACTGTTGTCGTTCCCGATCTTCGCACCAACAGTAGCGAAAAGCCCCCCACCAATTACCACAAAAAAAAAAAAAATCAATCAATTCCTCTCTCTAATCAAAACCTAACCCACAACAATCAAAATTTAAATCAAACTTCAAAATACCAAAAAAAAATAAAAAAAAAAATTGGTTAGGGTTTGGTTCGTTGGCTGTGGTGGCGTGACGGGGGAAGGGTGAGGTCGGAGTAAGGAGGAAAAGATTAGAGGTTAGGTCGACCGCCGAAGCTGAGCGCCGGTCGTAGCGTCGCCGAGGAGTTGATGCGTGTGGGGGAGGAGGAGAAGAGTTGGCTGGGTGGTGGAAGACGTGGTGGTGGCTTGGTGGGTGATGGGGGAGGGGGATGGTGAAATTATATATATATATATATTATAATTTGCTTAAAAATACTAAATCATAAGTAATGTTATAATTAGGCATAATTAAATGTTAAACAGTCTTATCAATTATTAAAAATAAAAAAATATTTATTTATTTAAAAAATTAATATTTAGACCAGTTACACAAATACATGTGTCATGTGCAACCGGTTTAATAGGTTACAAGTATTTTGTCTTGTTTAAAATGAACACCCTTAAAGGTTGTAATATTTAGAAATAATCCAAATGTTATATTATTATACAAGAATCGGCTAAAGGTTGTATTATTTTTTGTAATTTTTCCTTTCCTTTATTAATGACTACTTCTATAGTCCTATATATACTCTTTGAGATCTAAACAATTTTTATAGCAATTCTCTTCTTCATCATGGAGCAAGTTGTGTTAACATTTGGTGGCGTGTGTCATTAGGAAACTGCATTATTGAGAATTTTAATCAAGTATTTTTATTATTGCAATCAACATGTATTTTACCAACGGTTATGGTGCAATTTTCAATTGTTATAGGAAGAATTACATGTATTGTCTTTTAAACAATAGGTTACAAGTATTTTGTCTTGTTACACAAATACATGTGTCATGTGCAACAGTTACACAAATACATGTGTCATGTGCAACCGGTTTAATAGGTTACAAGTATTTTGTCTTGTTTAAAATGAACACCCTTAAAGGTTGTAATATTTAGAAATAATCCAAATGTTATATTATTATACAAGAATCGGCTAAAGGTTGTATTATTTTTTGTAATTTTTCCTTTCCTTTATTAATGACTACTTCTATAGTCCTATATATACTCTTTGAGATCTAAACAATTTTTATAGCAATTCTCTTCTTCATCATGGAGCAAGTTGTGTTAACATTTGGTGGCGTGTGTCATTAGGAAACTGCATTATTGAGAATTTTAATCAAGTATTTTTATTATTGCAATCAACATGTATTTTACCAACGGTTATGGTGCAATTTTCAATTGTTATAGGAAGAATTACATGTATTGTCTTTTAAACAACATATCAAGGAAGACAAAGTAGTAATGCTCCAATATTTTAATTTCATTTCACTTTGGCAAGTAAAAAAAGTCGCATTATTATGCATCCTTAAAACAAATCATTTATGTTAATACATACAAGTACTTATTTTCGGATGGAGGGAGTAGCAAAAATTAGTTAGGCGTGTTATGCAAATTGCATTCTTTATGCTATAATTTGCCAACTTTGGTATGTATTCCAGCTATCCCACTAAGTAACACCCCCACATATCTAAATCAAGATAGCTCACTAGCATTCAAGTATTCAGAACTAACAAAACTCTACACAATTATAATGTCATATATAAGTAAACTTGGACAAGTAAAGCTTTATTTATGTCCCAAGTCCTAACAAAGATCACCAACTTCCACAGCTTTGTGCGCCTCCTCGTTAGCCTTCTTCAACAATACTTGAGCCTTGCACTCATAAAAGTACGTCACAAGAGCAACCCATTTCACCAAGCTCCCAAAGAAAACCAACCCAAAAACAATTACAGTGACAGCAACTGTCACAACAATCACATAGTTACACATTCTTGCAAGTAAAAAGGGCAGCCTCAGAAAAAAACTGTATGACAACACCATAAGCATCAATTTGAACCCAGTTCGCTTACAATGTTTTCCATAGTAAGCTGACAATTCTAATGCATAGAGGCCGGCTTCGATTTGCAACACAGAAATCACCATAGCCATGTTCCACAAAACACTCCATTCTAGAAACTTGTAAAGTATACCCAAAAAAATCAGTGAATGAAACCCTATTGACAGGATTTGCACAAAATCTTCCCTTAAGAAAATATATTGCATGATAAAATGGTGGCTTAAAACTGTCCAAATTAAACCAGCAAATGTACAAATTGAGAGTAGTTGAACCCAAAACAAGGTAATAAAAGCACCTTTAAGATTAACTTTCTTGTAGATAACCTCATTTATAATCTCCTTAACAGTTAATGATGATGATATTTCCCCTGCATAAATTTTCACCCCAAGATTTACAATTAAGGGCAAACTAAAAAACTCGAGCAGAGGAAGAAGTACCAGATAGAACGGGAAGAGCTCTAGAACAACACGAAAGTGTTTCCTTCTGAGATCATTTTCATCATATTCAAATTCGTCACCAGTAAAATAGTAGGTGTAGGAAAAGGATGGTGGTAGTAGAAACTTTGATACACCATCCATTACTTCTGAGATTTTGATCTCATGTAAAACCATGAAAACAAACAAAGGTAAAACAGACATAATTGTTAAGCCCATGAACATGGGGTTACTCTTCAGGATTTTTGTAGCAGATTTCAGAATCTCAAACGACGTCAAATGCTTGAGATCGTCTTCATCTTGTAGGAAAGCTTGATCAATTTCTGAACTCATGACTGTTGAATCTACCTGCTGAATATTTTCTTTTTTGTTTTCGACAGGTACAATAATTAGTTTGTACTAAACTTTTTCGAATTCTGATTTAGTAAACATTATATATGGATAATAGCTAGAAGGTAAAGAATGCACGCAATGCGTGCACAATGATACTTGGTGATATAAGACTTAGAATGCCGTGTGACATAAGTATAATTAGAAATTATACTCAAATTGCAAACTTCCAAGACAACACAGACCAAAGAAAATGATTTGTTATGTCAAAATTGTTGTTCTACTCATCCAACAAATGAACACTCCATGTATCGAAATCAAGATAAATCACTAGTATTCAAGTTTTTCAATCTGTTGCTCTATAAAATTATCAATGTTTTTAGTTCTATAAACATTGAAATACTCAAAAAAACAGAACAAGAGGTGGTTCAATAATACGGAGCCCCCATTCATCTTCATGATAAACAAAATTTGTTTATCTAATGACATTTTCGCAGTACAAAAATTTGGCCTTTTAGCAACAGGTGAAATCCGTTGCTAATTGCTAAAAATCCGTTGCTGGACATAGCTAGCTACGGATTTATCAACGGAATCACCCCGTTGGTAAAAACCTTGTCGCTAAATGAATTTAGAGAATGAAAAAAAAAAATCGAAAAAATATTTTGAATCGAAAAAAAGCTGCTATTTGGGTCGACCTCACTCGGGTCAACCCGACTCGGCTTTCCATATAACGCTCCTTAAATCTCCAATCGAAATATTACTGTTAGTAGGAGTCGAACCCGTGACCTCAATGTCAAATATTGAAACTCTTACCAACTATACCAAATATTATTTGTTTACTTTTACGCACATAATTGATAATAAATGAAAGAAATATTAGAGACGGAATTTAAAATCCATCTCTAGTTTAGAAACGGAATTTAAAATCCGTCTCTAATTTAGAAACGGATTTTCAAATCCGTCTCTAATTTAGGGACGGATTTAAAAATCAGTTTCCAGTTTAGAGACGAATTGAAAATCCGTTTCTAGTTTAGAGATGAATTTAACTTACATAATTCGTCTCTAATGTAATATTCTAAATAATTAGTTTCAAAAATTATCTAGAGACGGAATAAAAAATCCGTTGCTCATATTAGCAACGGAAAAAAAAAATTCCGTCTCTAACTTAGCAACGGAAAAAAAAAAAATTCGTTGCTAACTTAGCGACGGAAAAAAAAAATCCGTCTCTAAATTTAGCAACGGAAAAAAATCCGTTGCTAGATTCATCAACGGAAAAAAAATCCGTTGCTAATCTAGCAACGGAAAAAAATCCGTTTCTAATTTAGAGACGGATTTTCAATTCCATTGCTAATTTAGCGACGGAATTTTTAATTCCGTTTCTACATTAGAAACGGATTTTTAAATTCCGTCTCTTTTTGATTCCGTCTCTAATTTAGAAACGGATAAAATTCCGTCGCTAGAATTCCGTTTCTATATGGACATTTTTTTGTAGTGTCGTAAATATATCAACAATTCATCCCAGTCATACTAGGTGAAAAAAGGGCTTTGGCAGCTGTTCAAACCGGTCTAAGGCACCGGTTAGAACCGCAATATATGTGGGGGGTGCCAAATCCCCCCCTTTTAGCACCGGCTCAAAACCGGTGCCTTTTTACTCAAATTTTTTTTCTCATTTTTCGTGCAATAATATTTTTTTAAAAAAAAACTGTTTCCAGCAATAATAATAACCTGTAATTCCAGCAATTATATTAAATAAAATAATTAATAATATTATTATTATAATTACTAATAATAATAATATTATTAAATATTACAATAAGATACAAAAATAATATTAAAAACAAGAACTCATATATATATATATATATATATATATATATATATATATATATATATATATATATATATATATATATATATATATATATATATATATATATATATATATATATAGATATAAATATTCCCAAACGCAATACATTAAAAAAAAGTGTTATATATATATATATATATATATATATATATATATATATATAGTAAGTAAATATATAATGAATAATAATATATATAGTTAAAAAGTTAACATAAATAATTTACAATTAAAATGTCATTTACATGTTGAAGGTGATAAAAAGACGCCAACATGTCACGAACTTCATTAAGCTCCTTGATTGTCAACGGTCCATCCTTTTGGACCTTGCAAGACTTGAAATACAAAAACATTATGTTAGAATTAATTAATTAGGCAAAAAAAAAAATGTATTTTATCAAATATTACCTATATGACTTCTATGTAGCCCATTTCCTAAATTACTTATCAAATGAACTATTTCTTTCTCATAACATGTCAATGACACCTAGTTTTATGTGTCTAAGCCCTAAAATTGAATCAAAAGAGCATTTTATTAAGGTTTATGACGCTTTTTACTCACAATGGCCCGAATATGGCCTATATGACTTTACTTTGCCCATTTCCTACATTTCTTATTAAATAAAATTTATTTATCTCATAACATGTCAATATTATATAGTTATAGGTGTATAAGGAAAGAAATCACATCAAAAGAGCATATTAACACAAAATGACCCAAATATGGCCCATATGACTTCTATTCAGCCCATTTTATACCTTTCTTGTCAAATCACCTTTTTAATTCTCATAACATGTCAATGTTGGGTAATATTAGGTGTATAAGTCTAAAAATCACATCAATATATCATTTCAATAAGTTTAACAACACATTTTACTCAAAATGACCCAAATATGGCCTATATGACTTTTATATAGCCCATTTCCTACATTACTTATCAAATGAACTATTTCTTTCTCATAACATGTCAATGACACCTAGTTTTATGTGTCTAAGCCCTAAAATTGAATCAAAAGAGCATTTTATTAAGGTTTAAGACGCTTTTTACTCAAAATGGCCCAAATATGGCCTATATGACTTTACTTGCCCATTTCCTACATTTCTTATTAAATGAAATTTATTTATCTCATAACATGTCAATATTATCTAGTTATATGTGCATAAGGAAAGAAATCACATCAAAAGAGCATATTAACACAAAATGGCCAAAATATGGCCTATATGACTTCTATTCAGCCCATTTTCTACCTTTCTTGTCAAATCACCTTTTTAATGCTGATAACATGTAAATGTTGGGTATTATTAGGTATCTAAGGCTAAAAATCACATCAATATATCATTTCAATAAGTTTAACAACGCATTTTACTCAAAATGGCCTAAATATGGCCTATATGACTTTTATGTAGCCCATTTCCTACATTACTTATCAAATGAACTATTTCTTTCTCATAACATGTCAATGACACCTAGTTTTATGTGTCTAAGCCCGAAAATTGATTCAAAAGTGCATTTTATTAAGGTTTAAGGCGCATTTTACTCAAAATGGCCCGAATATGGCCTATATGACTTTACTTTGCCCATTTCCTACATTTCTTATTAAGTGAACTTTATTTATCTCATAACATGTCAATATTATCTAGTTATAGGTGTATAAGGAAATAAATCACATGAAAAGAGCATATTAACACAAAATGGCCCAAATATGGCCCATATGACTTCTATTCAGCCCATTTTCTACCTTTCTTGTCAAATGACCTTTTTATTTCTCATAACATGTCAATGTTGGGTAATATTAGGTGTCTAAGGCTAGAAATTAAATCACATAAATATAGCATTTCATTAAGTTTTAGGACTTACCTCATCAAGCTGTTGAGTGTCCGTACAATGAGTCACAATGTCAAGCATGAATCTCATCACATACAAAGCATAATCAAGTCCATTTTCTTGTTGTGCGCACTAGCATATGACAAACAAATCACATCAGTGAAACATGCAAAGGAAATTAGCAAATATTTACTAACATAGATTTTGAAGATAATCACAATATCATGTAAATTACCAACGATGACTTCCATGTTAGACCCTTTGGAGCACGACAATGTAGCTTCTTCATAACACTATAGTAAATAAAGTACATTCAAATTTGATTAGTCATATGACTACTAAATTAGTTATTATTAGCAATTATCATCACTAGGTAGCTATATATATATTTACTTTTGCAATATAGACTTCACGAGCCACTTCTCCGATGATCGAGCTGAATCAAGGTGATAAATTGTGTTATTGGAATTACAAATCACCATGAGACTCCAATGCTCCCTACATAAGTTCACAATAGACAAGAAAATTAATATTTAGGAGTCAACATATAATGAGGCCAAATCGATTGAATTTGACATGGTTAGACTTACTCTTTATAACATGGGGCGAATATGAACTTGTCTCCCGCACGCGCTGATTCCTTGATACTTTGCTCAACATAGTACAACCCGTCATGGGGGTTGCCTATGATTCTAGTAGTGGATAACTGCTTGGGGCATAACCACCCAACTTTACAAGGAGAATCAGTTTCAGTTAACTGCTCCTGTAGTGCTCTGCGTGCATGAACATTGAATAATTAATCGCATGTAGGATAATCACCATAAATTTGAATAACTTGAAAAAAAAGTGTAGATTATGTGGGAATTGAAGTACCTCATGCATGTTTGAATGAGGGAAATGTTAATCTTTGCACCATGTAGAAATTCCTTCACATCTTCTTTGCTGATCCATGCAACTGCATCCTCATAATAGTGGAACATTGCCTTAGGAAGTGCAACTTCCATGGGATCGACCAAATGACAAGCACGGTCGTGAAGAAAGGTCATGTTAGCAGAGAGCGATTGAAGAACAATGTATTCAACTAGTGGTGTAGGTTGCATGGGTGAACCTTTCGAAGAGTGCAACTTCAATGCTTGTTCACTATTGGACCTTTAGTCACTTAGCTTCTTCTTAGGTTGATCTATGCTTTTAGGCTTGTCCACCCTCTTTCTCTTTGAAGTTTTGCTTCCATGCAAAATCTGAAATAGTTTGAGAAAGAATAAGTTTATAAGTTAAGAAATGAAGAAAATACGCATATTATAAGTTATTTCGGCTCAAAATGGCTTTATTTTGATGAAATGGGCCCAAAAACTTTAGAGCTTTGCTTCTTTTATGTAATTTCAACTCTCAATCACTTATAAATATGTAATTATGATATGGTTTGAGAATGAATAAGTTTATAAGTTGAGAAATGAAGAAAATAGGCAAATGAGAAGTCATTTTGGCTCAAAATGGCTTTATTTTAATGAATTGGACCCAAAACCTTACAACTTAGCTTCTTTTATATAATTTCAACTGAAATTCACTTATAAATATGTAATTATGATATGTTTTGAGAATGAATAAGTTTATAAGTTGAGAAATGAAGAAACTAGGCAAGTGAGTAGCCATTTCGGCTCAAAATGGCTTAAATTTGATGAAATGGGTCCAAAAACTTAGAACTTTGCTTCTTTTATGAAATTTCAACTCACAATCACTTATAAATATGTAATTATGATATGGTTTGAGAATGAATAAGTTTATAAGTTGAGAAATGAAGAAAATAGGCAAGTGAGTAGCCATTTCGGCTCAAAATGGCTTTATTTTGATGAAATGGGCCAAAAAACTTAGAAATTTGCTTCTTTTATGAAATTTCAACTCACAATGTACTTTATATTTGTTTAATAATGACCGTCTGAAAAACGGTCGCAAAATATGAAATTTGCGATCGTTTTTTATGCGGTCGCAATATTACGACTGCTTTTACAACGCTCCCAAATTTGCGACCTTTTGTGACCGTTTTTAGCCTTTTAGACGGTCGTTAGGATGTTTGAACAATTAAAAATAATTCTAAATTAAAATAAATCGTTTGCTACCGTCAAAGACGGTCGTAAATGTCATAATATGCGATCGTCAAAGAGACGGCTGTAAATGTCATAATCTGCGACCGTCAAAAGCAGTCGTAAATGTCATAATTTACGACCGTCAAAGAGACGGTCGTAAATGTGATAATTTGTGACCGTCAAAGATGGTCGCAAAAGGGATTTTTTATATTACAAAATGTACGGTATAAAAGGAGCCAAACCGAAGAGTTTCTCAGCTCTTAGCCTCCGCCTCTTTCTTTTCTCTCTCCTCCTCTTCTTTTTTCTTTCTCCTTCCTCTCCATGGTTCCATATCCTTCCTTTTTCCTTCCTCACCATTTTTGTTCTTCATTTTCACATCTCCATTTTCGTTCCAATTTTCGCTCCCCTCCATTTCCGTTCTCTTATTCTCCGGCAACGTTGGTGGTCTTTGGTTTGATGCTTAGCTTTGTGGTGTTAACTAGATCATGGTTTTTAAGGTCGAATTCGACCATGAAAAGTCTAGATCTAGACTTTTCATGGTCGAATTTGGCCTTATTAAACCAAATTCGAGGTAAAATTCGAAGTTTGAGGTATGTTTTCGTGTTTTTGGTTTATTTTTGTTTTGTTTTTGGTTGATTTTTGTTTCTTTTTGGGTTTCTTTTTGGGTTTGATTTTGTTTTTTTTGTTGATTTTTGGGTTTGGTTTTCGGGTACATTTTAATTGGATAATTTTGTGGGTTAATTTTCGTTAATTTTAGGGTTTGGTATTCAAAGTGAAATTGTTTGATTTTTGTTATTTTTTTATTTGATTTTCGCAAAATTTTGGGTTTTCGTGTTATTTTGTTTGATTTTTGGTTAATTTGGTTTATGGGTGGCTTTTGTGGTGGCTGGTTTGGGTTTTCGTGGGAAAGGGGTCTGAATCCGGGGTGGGATGGAGTTGTTTTCAAGGTGATTTGGGTTGGCTGGAGGTGTTTTCGAGGTGATTCGAGGTGGCTGGAGGTGTTTTCGTGGTGGTTGAATGTGTTGTCGGGGTGGCTGGAGGTGTTTTCGTGGTAGTTGAACGTGTTTTCGGGGTGGTTGGTAGTATTTAGGGTGGACGGTGGTGGTGGGTAAAGGTGAATAGGGTTGGCAGTGGTGGTGGGTTGGTGAGTCTGGATACGGAGTGGGGTGATTTTCTATTTTTTTTTTAAATTTTAGCGACGACTTTAGGCGGTCGCTAAATCCAATTTTGCGACCGCTGACTATACCGATCGTAATTATATTTATTTGCGACCGTTTTCCAAACGGTCGTTGAAAATATTAAAAACGGTCGCAAAAAAAATGCGACCGTCAAGCAGTCGTAATTTTGTTTTTTTTTGCGACCAAGTTAATAACGACCACCACGTTACGACCGTTGACGGTCTCAATTATGTTTAGCGAATGTTTTTGCTATTTTCAACGACCGTCAGAGGCGGTTGTAATTTGGCCGAATTTTAGTAGTGTGACCCGACTTGAAAATGATCCAACCTGATTATAACCTGCAAATTATTGACTTGAACCAAACCCGACTTGAACCCGAGAATGACCTGACTTGAAAATGACCCGACCTGATTATAAGCCGCAAATTATTGACTTGAACCGAACCCACTCATCCCGAGAATGACCCGACCTGATTCTAACCCGCAAATTATTGACTTGAACCAAACCCTACTTGCTTGAACCCGAGAATTACCCTAACCCGTTTTAACCCGTGAAACCCCAAATTAAACCAAACCTATTGTTCACCCGACCCGAATGTAGCACGACTTGTTATTAACTCGACTCAAATCCGATAAAAAACATGACCCGATGTGGCCCGGCTCAAGCATGACCCAACCCAAACCCGACCCGCATATGTTATGGAATTAATCCGAATTGTACCAACCCGAGTTGACTTGACCCACTCTTTTTGACCCAAACCTAACCTGTTTACTCGAATTGAGAGCTCTACCCGAAACCTCAAAAATTTCTCAAAAAACTTGGATATTAGCCTTCAATTTTGGAATTTTTTGACTTTTTTTTACTCAAAAGTAAAAATTTCTGAATTGTTTACTATGGTCCCTAATACCCTCTGGGAGTCCAATTGGCAGGGTGGAACCATCCAATTTGCCTTTGAACGATCAATTTATCGTTTACAATTTGCACTGATTTCATTAACTCAAGTTTACCACGAACATATATGTCAACATATAATGATCATATATGGATCCAAACAGAATTATATGACCCTGAGATGTATCCCCTAAAATCTGAATGTTTTTCGACACCAGGCCCATAAAGTACGAAATTTCTCAAAAAGCGTGGATAATAGCCTTCAATTTTGGAATTTTTTGACTTTTTTCGCAAGGAAATAATAATTGCCGAAAAGTTTACTATGGTCCCTAATACCCTCTGGGAGTCCAATTGAGTGGGTGGAATCATCCAATTTGTCTTTAAACGGCCAATTTACCGCGGTTTACAACTTGCACCGATTTCATTAATTGAAGCCTATCAAAAACATTTATGACAACATATAATGATCATATATGGTTCCAAACGGCATTATATGACCTCGAGATAAATCTCCTAAAATCTCAAGCCTTTTCGACACCTAGCCCCGAAACCTCATAAATTTCTCAAAAAGCGTGGATAATTAGCCTTTGATTTTGAAATTTTTTGACTTTTTTTTCGCTCGAAAATAAAAATTGCCAAAATGTTTACCATGATCCCTAATACCCTCCGAGAGTCCAATTGGGTGGGTGAAACCATCCAATTTGCCTTTAAACGACCAATTTACCGGTTTACAACTTACACCGATTTCATTAATTCAAGCCTACAACGAACATTTATGACAACAAATAATGATCATATATGGTTTCAAACGACATTATATGACCCCGAGATGTCTTCTCAATATTACTGTACTTTTACCATTAGATTGATGAAAATGCAAAGAACACGTACAAAGTGAACTATGAGGAATATTCATTTTGGTTAAAATCAAAGCGTTGGCAGCTAGCTAAATGAAGGGCGTTGTGTAGAGTTCTAACAAAATCTTTTACATTCTTGTTGAAGCCTCTTTCCATCTGCAAAATTAAATGTAAGAGAAAATGTGTTAGTTGTATTTCAAAGTATTACAAAACACTTTCTTAAGTTCAAAAGAACTAAATAAAATAACTAGTATTGTAATTAATCTTGTTTCATTTCATCATATTCCTCACACAATCCGTTTTATTCTGTTCTAGAATGTTTTAAAACATTTCCATTTTAGCTTGTTTTATAATAATTATTGTTCTTACGATTAACACTTTTACTTTATTATCTTATGGTATCACCCTCTCACATCTTACAATTATAATTAATGATCTCTTGCTTTTGCAGTAGTCACATAATCTTTTATTTTTCATAATTGATATGCAAATAAATGTAAATGTTAAGAACATTACGAAACAGAAGTCGTGAATTTCAAAGTAAAATTAAAATGAAAGGATATAAGTTAAGACATGGAAGGGAGGAATTCTGACCTTTGCAACAATGGTGATGTCTTGGGCTAGGTTCTCAAATGGTATGACACTAAAATTAGTAATGCTCAAATGATGCTTGTCTATCTCTGCGAATAATTTTACCAAAATATCCTTTTGTTGTCCACAGTACACTCTTAAGAGAAGGGACTTCCCCAGTATCTTAACTTCAACTTCAGGAAGTGAATCACTGCTGCTATCACCATCATCGTTATTGCTGCTTCTACAATAGTCATCTACAGTAGTCGACGAGGAAGCATTATCATCGCTACTTCCTTCGTCGAACATCAAATTTGATTTTTTGACAAGTACGACGGACTCCATTGTACGCTTTGCAATGACACTTTCGAGTACCTTTACTTTCTCTTGAAGCTCCTTCATATGTTTGATTGCCTCTCCTAACACCGATGTTTTGTCTATCTGTATAGTAATAATTACAGCAAATAGTTTAGATCATACTCATTTGTGTTTGATGAAATCTTAAAAATCACAAGATGGGAAATTTGTGCACCTTCTTGAGGCCGGGAACAATCGCAGAGAGTGAAATGAACAACTGGCTAAGTAATTCACGACGTTTCCTCTCAGCGATGATGTGATCTTGCACTTGACTTGGCTGTCGTTTCCTCTTTGCACCACCACTACTCACTGCTTGCTTCTTCTTCGTCTCTTCCTTAGTTTTGGGTGGTTGGCTCATCTCTTCAACATCGGTGTGGTTTTCACTAGTTTCGGAAATAAGAGGAGTTGATATGAATTGTTCGATGACATTGTTACACTCAAAATCTCCTTGAGGAGAGGTAGCGTCGCTGGTGTCGTATAGAGAATAAGGGAAATTGTCGGCAAGCGTAGCTGCGAGCTGCTCGTCGAAAGCTGCTGCTTCCATTGTTCCACTTTGCTCACAATGGCTGTTGATTAAACTAGGAATTGTATCCATTTCCATTTCCTACACAGATCAAATAAATAAATAATGCAATCAATTACAATTTGCATAACACATTTCTTAACTACTGTATAAATAAATAATGCCATCAATTACAATTTGCATAACACATTTCTTAACTACTGTATTACTGTACGGAGTATTATATATTACTCCAAGTAGGCAAGTGCGGAGTAATTTAGAAATGTTATTACAGTGGTGATGATGCCAAAAAGGGCACGTATGTATATCGTTACTATGTCATTTAATACTAGCTCTAACTTCTATAAGTTCATCTTGAAATGCTCAAATAGTTGAAATAATTAAGATTTGATAATGCATCTTATAAAAAAGGGCAAAAGTAAATGAGCGCCCCCGGGATGTTAAATAAGAGAATTAAAATGCAAATATGAGAGTAAAATTAACATTAATTATACCAAACGACGCGTGATTTTATTATGAATTCCTAACTTAATACTACCCTTACACCCAATATAATTTATCCTTATCTAACGCCCCGTAGCACTCGTTAGCAAGATCCAAAAAAATACAGATTATGAGGATTAAATGCGCTGATTCAACCATTTTTTCAATAAATTTTAGAAGCATTATTTGGATCTTAAATATTTCCAAAAATAATACTCATACTCTGAAATGTTATTATTTTAAATATTTCCTAAAATAATACTCTAAAATGTATGCCAAATCACTTTGTCAATCACTGTAATTAATATTCATTTTAATTTTGCTGTAGTGCGGAGTAATATTTTATAATAAGAAAATGTTACAAACAGTTAATAAGAATTTAAAAGTAGAAAACTATATAAAGAGTATGAAATACAAAGTATAACCGATAACATTCATTATAAAAAAATATCAAATGCATAGTTTGTTTTTTTTTTTTTTTTTAAATTTTTTTTAATTTTTTTTACAAAATAAAATACATAGTTACAACCTTGTATGGTTGGCTGTACCACTTAAAAATTTATCGAAGATATGAAAATGACTTCACATGATAGTAAGAGAACGAAGTATATGATAAAAATTCAAATTATGCTAGACGAAAGTGAAAGAGCAACACGCAAAGTAACTAAAAGAAGTATATGATAAATAAATGACACACGGAGCAGTGATTAGAGTCCTTACCAACTCGGCTAACCACGCATCCATAGTCATGGTCGACGACATTGTTACTTCTTGTTACCAATTCAAGCTTTGACAAATTAAAGAGAACGAAGAAGTTGAGAGATTGTAAAGTAGTGCTGTTGAGTTTTCAATAGTCTTTAGAGTTTCGTCATTTATATAGAGAAGGAAGTTTCCAAATTCATTTGTTTATATTTTTTTTAAGGAAATTCATGTGTTTATTTCTTCCATTTTTTTTATTAACAAATAAAGCCATACGGGATCACACTTCCTACGAGTAGAAAATATCGAACCTTTTATTATTGTTATCAAAAGGGGGGCTTCTCAAGAAATCTACAATCAATATTCTTTTTACGTGTTGACTATGAATGAATCAATTACTACCTACTACTCGATCCCTTATTTTTTTATCCTATTATCAATAGGCAAAAAGTTAACGAGTCCTCTTAAGGCGTTAGATAAGAGCAAGTTTAGCCCCAAGTGTTAAAACTTGAGGTGACATCATTATCTTAAGTTTTAAGACTTATGCTTAATTCTTTTCTCATTTTTCTTCAAAAATCTCAAGCAAGTCTCAAATTGAGTCTTGAAATTTCAAGACTCAACTTAAGACTTGAGATTGAGACCCCCTACTCACACCTCATTTTTATTTTTATTATCTCTTTTTTTTTTCCTTACACTTTTCTACATATAATATGTCAAATATTTAAGTCTTAGGGCTAAAGTGATAAATTTGTGTAAATCTTAGTGAGTTTTAACAAGAATTTGATGACATCATTTTCAATGGGAACCACCAAAAATGATGTCACATCCAAGTCTTGGGGCTAAACTTGCTCTAAGAGAAAAAAATTGAAAATAATTACACTGAACAACACGTGATTTTGTCCTACATTCCTTACTTATATACTATTTTAAACAACATATTCATTAGTTATCTAATATCCCGAGACGCTCATTATCAAAATCCTTTTTAATATTGGGTTAAACTTTGATATTTTTTATCATAAATTTCCGTTATTCTATTAGAGATAGTATATTCATGTGGAATTTTATTAACAAGTTTTTATAATATTTACTTGTAGACAAACTTTTTAAAAAAAAATCGGATTTACAATAAAATATTATTCATCGGCTTCAAGGTTACCTTAAAATGATCAAAAGTTACCCTATAATGAATATAAGTAACCCAGTATATATAAGTTATCCTGATATAAATAAAAATTATTTAAACTTTATGAATAAAAATTACCCTAAATTCAACAAAAAGTTAACTCGATGTACAATAATATTTTACTATACATCGAATGCTTACAAAAGTTTTTGTTACGTGTATATAAATTAATTAAAATTTATACAGTTTAAGACTTGTTATTTAAATCATTAAAAGTCAAATAAAAATAGAGACAGGAGGAATATACTTCATTAAAATACTTCTTTTGTCACTTTTTATCTTAGCTAGTTGTATATTTACCCTTAGTATACTCGTATAACACAGAAGTATACTTATTTTTTACAATGTCGAACTTCATCAAGTTCTTCATGGTTATAATTTTTTCTTATTACTAAACATGTGAAATAAAACATTATCATCTTAATTTTGTCATAAATTCAGTTAAATATATATTATTTTTGCTCATATATAGTAATAATTAAAAATAAAAAAGTATGGTACTGTATATGTACTTTTTTTTTTAAAAGCTGGTACTGTATATGTACTTATGTCTTCATTTATGTTGAAAAAAAAACCAAAAATTTTATATTATACTACTCCGTAGTTCTTTGCCCGAGCAACGCTCGGATATTTACAGGAAAAAAATTGTATTTATATAATTATATAAGCTAGTATTTATTATAGATTTTGTATACATTTAATATTTTTTATTTATTAAAGTTGTTATTGTTCTATTATGCATACTTTATATTTTTTTATTAATTATTTTATTATTTTTTAAGACAAAAAAAAGGGTTTTTGACGGGAAAATATTTAATATAATCGCGACATGTGTACTTGTAGAATAACCTTGGTAATTGCTTTAGTATATACTCCCTCCGTCCCTTAATACAATGCCTCTTTTGAGCATTTATTCATCACATAATAAAGAGAAAGAGGTATTGTATTAAGGGACGGAATGAGTAGTATAGATTGATTTTTTGAATTAAGAGCATTATTATATTAAAGAAATAAAAAAATTACGGTATATTCTTTCAATCTCCATTAGTTGTAATAAATGATAAATGCATTCTACATAATGTTATTGAATTTTTCTTGAACTTATACAAAGTATTAAGTTATCCAAACTTTTTTTTTTTCCTTTTTTAAATACTCCGTAATATTTTACAGAGTAGAATAAGATGAACAAAAATACACTAATTAGCAACCCCTTCATCTTAAGTTCTTAACCTAAGTTGGGCTAAAATCTAAATATACAATATGCATGATACATGTTGTCATGATTAATTAGGTGTTAGATGAAGAATTAGTTAATCAATTTGGGTTTGAATGATTTCAATACCGACCAGCATTATTCATGTGAATAAGATAATTATACTAATAATTATTTTCATAATAAATTAAATTATAACCTAAGGCTCATCGATCAATACCTGTGCTGGACTGATTTTCGATTTAGACAGTGAGATTGATTCCACACAGAAAACTAGCGGCATCTTAGCGATTCGTAAATATTGTATTGTACCAATAACATAAATATATAATGCACATTTGTCTCTTTATTTATATATAATAGGGGTATATACTTATCTAATGTATTAATGCATACCTGTCTCATTTACTTCCACCCTTACCAAATCTAGACTCTTGGCTTTCACTAAATCTACATTATACTTTCATCATTTCAAATTTTAATTGACTTTTGAAACCCATTGTAACCTATTTGTAAGTGTTTCACATTTGAGGAAGAGGAGAGGTAGTTTCACTTTATATGCCGGAGGAGTTACTCCAACTATTGCTAATTGGTTTTTGGATGGAAGCTCTAAAGCCTAGTTTGTGGACCAAATTCTCCTTGTTCGGGTTGTCCAGGCCCATTATATATATATTATTTTGAAATTTAACATGGTATCAGAGCCCAGGTTTGTTGGGCCGTTCAAAACTGGGTATTTGTCAAGCCACTAGTTAAGGAGCCTCTATTGGATGTTCATTCCCAATGAGGATTATATTGTACCTTTTGGTGTGCTCTAAGTTCTAAGGACACTCACAAGTGAGGGGGAGTGTTGAAACTCATTGTAGCCCACTTGCAAGTTTCCCACATTGGAGAAAGATGAGAGGTGGTTCCACTTTATAAGATGGAGAAGTTACTCCTACTATTGCCAATTGGTTATAGTATGGAAGCTCCAAAGCCTAGTTTGTGGACCAAATTCTCCTTCTCCTTGTTCGGTTTGCCCAGACCATTTCATATTGTTTCGAAATTTAACATTGACACTTTTTTTTAATCACATTTGTATGTGTATATATTTAACCATAACTATATTACTTTTTCGATCTTAAAATAAATATTTTAATCAATGTGTAACATTAACTGATAATATCTTTAATCATCAATAAATATAATTGATAAAAAATATATATTTGTAAACATACACCAAGACGAAACTGGCAAGTACCTCATCATGACTATGTTTAATCTGATATGTTAAATTTAAATATTGGTCCAAATAAGCTATATGAATTGTACTCCATATAAAAGTTAAATGAAAACATTCATTTTGAAAAAAGGGGAGTATTATTCAGTACTCCCTCCATCCCCAAAATTTCGACCCTTTTAGCCTAATTTTAGTCCCAAAATAATCGATACATTTGCATTAAAATACCCACTAATTCACAATAATATTTGCATAAAATTAGATTCCCCATATAAATTTTTGTTTAACTAAAGGCATTTTCGTAAATATATCACCAATTCATCCCAGTCAGCATGACATTTTTGTAAATAAGTGAACAACTTTTATTAATATGCGGGTCTCACAAATGTTGACTTGTTTACGAAAATGCCATATTGATTGTGAATTTTTGTTGATTTATTTACGAAATGTTATTAAATAAACAAATTATTATCAAGATCAAGTTGTATTTTTGGGAGCAATTTAAGGTATACTTAGTGTACAAAAGGAATATTGTACACAAGTTTCCTATTGGTTGATTGGGAATATTCCTTTTTTGTGGGCCACCTTCATTTTCATTTGAATTTCAAACTTGTTTTTTAAATTTCAACTTTTGAATTTCAAATTTATCTATCCTTTTACCTACCCAAATTAATGTAGTATATAATCCCAAAAAAAAAAATCAGATTTTTTGACCTCATTTTTTTTCTCTCTCCTAATTTTTTTTTCTCTCTCCTAATGTTTCCCCTCTAATGTATCTGTGTAAATAACGAATGAAGAACAATATACAAATTTGATTTTCTTAATTTCAGCGTAAATCAGATTGATGGCGGTGCGATAAGGTGTTGGTTAAAATGCGAACGCCGTGGGTGAATGTGTTGCCAGTGAACAACCTATCGGCGTCGGTGAATTTTTTGTAATGTTCATGTAGAATTCGGCCCGTCGCGGTGTGGCTTACAATTATTAAAATTAATTGTGGTGATTATATATTTGAAGAATAAACTAATTTGAATGAAAGTTTGGTGAAGGTGTGAAAAACAAAAACAGATTTAGAATTATTAGCTGCAAAATTGGTTAAAGATTATGTTTTACAATTCACCCAAAACAAATGATCCGGAATTTTAATCGACTCTAAGAAAACGATTTGTTGGGACGCTCATACAAACATTGTAATATATAGTTTTTTTCCCACATAATGAACGTGCTGATACCCCTTAGTCCAATGGTTAACTTTGAAAGCCACATGTGCATACATCAAACCACTGTTCGAACACTGTGACGGCATAAATTGTATTTTTTTTTCTGGTTTTAATTATTTTTAACTTTACAGAATCATATCTAATTTTAAAATATCAAAATAACATAAAAGTTAGTGAATGAAACAATGTTATACGTATATCTTTTATTTAGTTTTTAATTATTTTATGTTAGTGAAGGAAACAAGGTTATACGTTTAGATATAAATTATTTATATTTAATAACTATTTTATTAGTATTTAAAAAAAAACTATTTTATTTAAAACAAAAAGTATGTTAATAAGTTAAAATTTTCACTACTTTGATAAACATAAAAAGAGAACCTATTCAACTAATAATACATATTAATATGTAATCCA